GGTGATGGCTTAAGTAGTTGAGTCTCTGCCACCTATGTGGGAGACCTGGATAGAACTGGCCCCATCCTGACTCTTACAGGCATTTGAAGAGTGAATCCTGCATGGGTGACACACTCTGTGTGTGTGTGTGTGTGTGTGTGTGTGCTGCCTTTCGCATAAAATAAATAAAAGATTTAAAATTGTTGATGAAAAAAAATCTGGGAGTAAGGAATGAATTATGGAATCCAATGCCATATACATGCTTTAAAAAGCTTATGCTGAAAAAAGTTTTATAAGAACATATTTTTCAAAAACACAAACAAAAGGATAGCAACTTAACACATCGGAGTGGTTACAAGAGTGGAAGAAGAGATGGGAGGAAAAGGAAGTAAGTAAGAGGATACAGAGAATGACCCTTGCTGGAGACTGACATTGATGATCGGCAGTAAGGTGAGCAGGGTGTTGAATTCAGACCTCTGATCTGACAGGCGCCTGTTTAGTGCATGGCAGTAGTTTGCTCAAATGATGTTAGTACTCCATTTCCTTCTCCACAGCCAGGTGTCACAGGAAGAACAAGGTGGACCTCTCTTTTTTGGGGTTTGCTTGTCTCAATGAGAAAAGAATTCAAACTATCCCAAGTAGTGGAGCAGAGAGAATCCCTGCCCACAGCCCACTTTGGTGAGGGGCATGTGTGGTATATATGTGGGTCCTTCAAAGAGTTCATTCTGGGGTGGGCATTTGGCACAGTGGATAAGTTGCCCTCATCCCATACTGGAGTGCCCAGGTTTGATTCCTAGCTCTGTCTTTAATTCCAGCTTCTCACTGATGCAGACCATGGGAGGCAGCAGGTGATGGCTCAAGAACTTGGGTCTCTGCTACCCATGTGGGAGAGCCAGATTGAGTTCTGAGTTCCTGGTTTTGGCCTCGCCTAGCTCTGGATGTTGAGGGCATTTGGGGAGTCAACCAATGAATGGAAAAATCTCTGTAAATTGGGGTGTGTTTGTGTGTGTGTCTGTCTGCCTCTGTCTTTGTTGGTCTCTTCACCTTTCAACTAAAATAAAAATGAGCAAATAAAAATTTTGAGAAAAAAGGGGAAAATGTCCATGAACATGGAAGAAAATGTAAGTTTATTTTGGAGCAAATTTTTAAAAAATCAATGCATATGAGGGGTCTTCCAAAAAGTCCAGGAAAAAATGTATAGCATGAAAAAATTATGCATGGGTTTCAAAATTTTTTGCAACAAAGTAGGCATCATTTGCTTTCATCTTTCCGTGGAACTACATATAAGGACAGATAGCAGTGGGTAGAACATTTTTCTTTCCAACAGAAATCTCTAACAACTGTGTGATTTCCATGATCTGCTATCTGTTGTCTCACTGTGTAGGGTTTTCCAGTCTTCGTTAAAGTTCATAACCTCAAAAACTGATGCTTGTGTTAGAGTAGACTCCAGAGTTTTCAGGAAAACCCCACAGAGCAGCTCAACCTCGATGGGGGACTGCAGGGACTGAAGCAAAGACCATGAAAGAAACCTTATCATTACCCCTCTCTAGGTACCTCTACAAATGACTGCCTCCGCTTAACCTCAAGGTCAAGACAGCCTTTTTTATAGTGTTCACTGTCCCTGAGGATGAGCTTAAAGCAAGAGCCTTGTTTGCTTTTTATAGGATTAAAAAAGACAATGAAACCTGCCTCTCCGAAGATCATTTCACCAAGTCCCTGTCGCTCTGCGGGGAAATGTGTTTCCTCATTTATATTCATGTCTCTAAAAGACAAGTAGACCTTGGATGAAATTTCAGGAGGCAGTACATTATAAATAATGTATCCATATTTTTCTCTTCCATACTACTTGTATTTAATTCCCCCCAGAGCTTTGTGCAAACACCAGAGACAAGAGGATAGGAAGCTATTAACATGATGGAAAGAAAGAAATGGGTTTATGTTGTGTGGCAGGAACACAACAAGGAAGACATCTTGAGCAAAAGAGGGTACTTTTCTTTTCTCTCCTCTGTCTCTGTCTCTCTGTCTCTCCCCCTCTCTCTCTGTCTCTCCTCCTCTGTCTCTCTGTCTCTCCCCCTCTGTCTCTCTCTGTCTCTGTCTCTCTGTCTCTCCCCCTCTGTCTCTCTCTGTCTCTGTCTGTCTCTCTCTGTCTCTCTCTGTCTCTCCCCCTCTGTTTCTCTCTGTCTCTGTCTCTCTGTCTCTCCCCCTCTGTCTCTCTCTGTCTCTCCCCCTCTGTCTCTGTCTCTCCCCCTCTGTCTCTCTGTCTCTGTCTCTCTCTCCCCCTCTGTCTCTCTCTCTGTCTCTCCCCCTCTGTCTCTCTCTGTCTCTCTGTCTCTCCCCCTCTGTCTCTGTCTCTCTATCTCTCTCTCCCCCTCTGTCTCTCTGTCTCCGTCTCTCTGTCTCTGTCTCTCTCTCCCCCTCTGTCTCTCTGTTCTTCTCCTGACTTTTTGTCATCTCAACTCTTTTACAGACCATTAGGTAGGCATCTGTTTGGAAAGAGTCATTTATCTTGGGCCACTCAGGACAAGGTGGAGATGCGGCAGTGGATGGAGGCCTCTTTGGGCCAGATTTTAAGCTCTGTTGCTCCAGCAGAGCAGGCATAGAAAACAGAATCATCAGCTGAGAGCTGTCTGTCTTAAAATAAATAGGTTGCTGCTAAGTAGAAAACTCCAGTACGGTCAATGAAGTCAGAAAGAGTGCTGGCCGTGAACGCTGGCTTCCAATTCCATCAGCCCTGGTTGCCATCAGTTAGGGGCCTTCCAGAGTACCCATCAGGCGTCTTGCACGGCAGGTGCCAAGTCAAGCCTGGGGGTCCAACCTGGCAGCCTCCATTCTTGCTTCTGATTCCACCTTCCTACCAACGCAGACCCTAGGAGACCCTGGTGATGACTGCCTGCCACCTACGCGGGAGGTCTGGGTTGAGTTTCCAGCCCTCGGCTTTGGCCAAGCCCAGCTTTGGCTGTTGTGGGCATTTGGGGAGTGAACCAGAGGATGGAAGATTACCCATTGTCTGCTTTTCAAATAAAATGAAAATAAATACAATTTTTAAAAATTTTGTACTTGACTAGGCTAAGACTAGGCTAGGAAAGGGGAGGGAAGGAGTGAAGAATAGGCAGTGAGGACTCAATACTATGCGATGATCATATGCCTTAGTGTAATTTATTCAGGGAAATTTGCATCTGTGTGGCCGTCTGAAATTAGAGGGACTTTGAGCATCATACTCTGAGGGTAGGAAGATACTTCCAAAAATTCACAGAAAACTGGTGCAAAGAACTTTTGAAATCCATGCATAGTTCGTTTTCATGATATACAATTTACAAGGTATTTTTTACAAAACTTTATTCATTTTGTTTACTTGAAACACAGGAGGAGGGAGAGAGACAGAGAAATCTTTGATCACTAGGTAACTCCTCAAATGCCCACAACAGCCAGGAACCAGGAACTATATCCAAGTCTCCCACTTTGGGTAGCAGGGACCCAAATACTTAGTCATCAACTCCTGCCTTTCGCATATGCATTAGCAGGGAGCTGGATGGGAAGCAGAGGCCACCTGATCCTTGGCACTCCAGTATGGGATGTGGGTGTCCCAAACAGCTGCTTAATCTGCTGTGCCACGATGCCCATCCCAAAGAACCCTTGAGGACGCCTTGTGTGTACCTCTTTGCCTCTGCCACCCTTCCATGGGTATTCTGAATCTTCCTCTTTAGCTTTGTTCCATCAGAGTCCACTCTGCCAAGCTCTGCAGCTGATATTTAATTATTCACCTCAACCAGTATCTATTATCTCTCTGTGTGCCTGGCTTTATAAGGCACTTTCGCATGCATTACTTCCGTCCACAGATGTTTCATCCAGCAAACAGTCATTTCAGGGGTTCTGCTAAGTCTCCAAGACAGGGCCAGAGAGATTGGGTATGCATCAGTGACTTGGGTTTAAATTTGATCTTCCCAGTAAAATATTGAAAAGGGTAGAGAAGCAGAGAAAAGAAAATTCATTCATTATCTCACTACCTCACAGAACCGTGGGAGACATCTGGTGTGTCTGGCTGGTGGTCTGTGCTGTCATTTACAATGAGTAAGTGGTGGAGCTGGGAGACTTCCCGTCACCTGTTGGGGAATGGAAGGATGGGCTTTGGAGGATGGACAGGAATCCCACCTTCCTGCTTATCTGAGATGACAGATAGGGAGAAGGGGCAGGCTCACAACTGTCTCATTCGTATGCCCACTCCCAGAACGTAGGGCGAGGGAAGAATTCAAAGCCTGAGCTGGGAATTCGTGTGTTACAAACTATAATGGGCATTGTGGGAGATAACAAAAAATGGTTACACCGACTCCAGGGCTAGAACATGTCCCACTCTAGAGTTACAGGACCTTGGTGAGTTCCTCACCAATTTATGGCCAAATTACCTCATTTGTGAGACTTAGATAATGCACGTAATGCAGTTAAATAGAGTATGGGACGTCCTGTGCAAAGGCTGGGTAGTCGGTTATTTCTCGTTAGAGCTAGTGGACACTTTCACCCCTTACGGAGTGTTTTACAAGAAGACCCAGTGGCTTAGAAGCAGAGGCTGTGGTTCAAGTTCTGCCCCACTTCCTAGCCACCTGAGTCTTGATCCCTTGCGTCTCGGTTTCATCCTCTGTGGAGTGGGACGCACACGGCCGCCCTCACCCCGTTGATATGAAGATTGAATGGGGACAGGAGGAGTGTGAGGGTGCCGTGTACACGGAGGAGAGCTGTGGGCTTAGTATGGAGGGTTCAGGGCTGCTGCTTTGACTAGCCACACCCCTGCAGGCAGGAGAGAGGGAGGGAGAAGAGAAGGACAACTGCATGGAAAAACACGTGAGGAAACTGAAGGGGAAAGAACGTGATGCCTTTACTGGACGGACCGGAGATCTGCACGTCTGGTTCCTGTGATTGCCTTGGTGGCGAGCGGTGTCCTGGCAAGGGAAGGAGGCAGGTGAAAGGCTCCTCCTGGGCCAGGCCCAGCACGGGAGCAGGCGGCATCGGCGTGGCCTTGACTCCCTCACCTGTACTGAAGGCGGTGGAGGTTGTGCTGCTCCGGGAGGTTTCCTGGGCTGCCTGCAGGAGCACTGTGTAGTCTGTGCTCTCCAGGAGGTCCTCCAGTCGGATCCACGTGTCCTCTGCGTCCACAATCAGCTCCTGCGGGAGGCGGGGGAGGAAGGAGCGAGCGGAGCGTGACCGGCTTGTCACAGGGGAGAGTGGGGTGGGAGGAGTCAGATCTACCGCTGGCGAGGTCAGCTGCCCAGTGGCCATTGCCGTCCTCTGCCTGCCGCCATAAGCCTAGAGGAAGCTCCCCTGGGAGAGTTAGGCCAGCTGCTCTCTCCCAGATGCACACTGGGGTGACTTCAGGACCTGGATTATTGACTCCAGTGTTTTCAGATTGCACTGGGCTCCCTTGAGGGCAGAGAAGGAAGCTGAGCAAGCGAGAACCTAGGCCTCCCTACTCCCATCAGACTGGCCCTGCTGAAATCTCTTCTGTATATTGGGTTCTGCATATGATTTCAGTTGCAAAAAGGATTCCACTGCAAACAAAGATTGGGAAACCAGGGCTCTAGACGAACTGTTTCAACTGTTGACATCAAACAAAAATGTGTCTTCTCTTTACTGTAGGCTGTATTGATGTAGCATTTGTAATGCTTATTGAGAGGCAGAAAAGTCTGTTGAATTTGGTATACAGCTTATGTTTGCTTGGTCCTGTTACAGACAATTCCTTCCATGTACTTAAACTTGCCCGTGTGCTTTGTGTCTTCATGTTAAAAGTTGAGGGATAGATAGCCCACTGTGTAGAGGAGGGACAGAGGCTCTGAGCAGATTGGTGCTCTGCCTCCCTGTGTGAGGCATAGCATCAGGACCAGGGCTACCCCAGGTCACCTGGCCTGCAGACTGGCAATCTCCCATCCAGGTTGGCTCCACATCCGTAATGGGAAACCTACTTGGCTCCTTGTGAGTCAGTCCCACCCCCTCCCTCCAGTCTCCACTGGTGCATCCATTGGTCAGTTTTCACACGGCTATCCTTGGGAGAACTGCTCTCTACCCTTTCCGGCAAACACTCACCTTGCGGCTTCCATCGGCGGATTTGTAGGTCAAGACGTAGTTCTCGATCTCTGCCCTGGGAGGCTGCCAGGAGATGAGGGCACTTTGTCGGGTGACCTCACTGGCGGTCAGGTTTGCAGGAGGGTCCAGCACTGTAAACGGGAAAGTCATTGCCAAGGTGGGTGTGCCTCTGCAGCAACTCCCAAATTGACGTCAGGCATGGGTGTCTCATCCAGCTCTGTGGTCTCAGGGCTGCGTGGGCAGGCTAAGGGCACTCACGGGTCAGAAGACAATCGTTCACTGTGCTCTCTCCCCCTTCCATCATCTGGATCTTTAAGCCTGGCTGTGACATCTTTCAGTCTGACCTATACCTGGGACTCAGACATTGTCAAATCCACACATCTGTGGGGCTGGCTCTGTGGCACAGTGGGTAAAGCCACCGGCTGCAGTGCCAGCATTCCATATGGGTGCTGGTTCGAGTCCTGGCTGCTTCACTTCCAATCCAGCTCTCTGCTATGTCCTGGGAAAGCAGGAGAGGATGGCCCATGTCCTCGGGTACCTGTACCCACATGGGAGACCCAGAAGAAGCTCCTGGCTCCTGGCTTCAGATTGGTAGAGCTGCGGCCATTGCCACCGTTTGGGGAGTGAACCAGCAGATGGAAGACCTCTTTCTCTCTGCCTCCCTCCCTCCCTCCCTCTGCATCTGCCTCTCTGTAACTCTGCCTTTCAAATAAATAAAAAATCTTAAAACCCCCACACATCTGCGAGTTCACTCTTGAACTAGAAACATGTCTGCTGGTCTCCTGGCATGACTCCGCCTCGCAGCCCTCTTCCCGCGTTCTAGCCTTCTACTCTCCATCAGATTTTTCTGGATCAGATGCATTCCTGGTGCTGGCTTCTTCTGGTCTGATTCTGCTCCTTTAACCCAGATTTAAGGTGAGCGCAGAAAGCATGCACGTGTGCCGGCTGACAGCTGCTGCTCACTTGCACTGGATTTGGGCCATAGTCAGCCAAAATAAGAACAGCTCATAGCCACACTGTCCAAGGCCCACAGACTGTAAGCTCACCCACCACAAAGACACTGAGTTTCAGGAGCTACAAAGCCACCAGGCATATCAGGTAAGGAGGTGAGCATGTACTCACGGGTGGAGAAGTTGGTGCTGATGGCTCCACTGGTGAGAGGCCCGCTGGTGGCATACATGGTGACAGTATAGTGGGTGCTAGGGAGCAGGTCAACCAGCTGGAATTCCTCACTGACCCCGTCAACCAGGATGGTCTCTCCAGCAACTGAAATCAGATGAACGCGGATCAAGACTGAATAAGGCTTCCCAGCATAGGCAAAGCCTGCTAACCCAAAGGGATTTCACAAGGATCCGGCATTACAGAAGTCTGCAAAATTGTGGGAAAAAGTCTTTTCTGAATAAGCTAGGTTATTATCTTATTCCATGCATATATTTCCTGCTATCTCTATTTCGTAACTGAGAAATATATTTCATATGTGGAGGCCAAACTGTCTTCTCTCTAACTTCTGTGCAAGCCTCTGGAGTCACAAAGAATACGTCAAATGCTTTGTCTACATGAGCCCTTCCTCTCCACCACGCTTCCTAGTCAAGTCCTCGCTCCTCTAAACAGAAAACTCAACTCCACTTCCCACTACATTTATGTGACAATTGTAAAACCTTCTCAGTTCTGGTTACCTTTCTCTGGATCAATGATAATTTATCATGTTCATATGGAATTCAGAATTCAAAAGAGAATTGAGGGGGCTGGTATTGTGGCATAGCTGGTTACAGTGATGGCATCCCATACGGGTGCTGGTTCACATCCTGCCTGCTCCACTTCTGATCCAGCTCCCTGATACTGCACCTGAGAAAGCAGTGGAAGATGGCCCAAGTGCCTGGGGCTCTGCCATCCATGTGGGAGACTGGATGCAGCTCCTGGCTCCTGGCTTTGGCCTGGCCCAGCCCTGGCCATTGTGGCCATCTAGGGAGTGAGCCAGCAATGAAAGATCTCCCTCTCTCTATATAAGACTGCCTCTCAAATAAATACATAAATAAATATTTTAAAAAGAGAATTGAGAACAATAACTGACGAGCACTGAACAATGAGACAAACAAGGTCAGCCTATACTTTTACTTGTGCCATTTATATTAGTGTACTAGGTTTGGGGATTATTGATAATTACTGATAGAAGATTCTTTTTATAACCACTCCTCTTACCTGAAAAACCAACTTTACATAGTTAATTTTTTGTACCATGGGTATTTATTTCAGCTGCATTTTGCCTGATTGAATTCTGGGCCTGTTTCAGTTTATGAAAATATTATTGACGTTGAATCCCATGGATTGCAAGTTTTGTTTTATACACACATTTGGTGAGTCTGTTATGTCTGAGTTTGGTCAAGCTGTTGATAAAACTGTTCAATAGTTTAGGGCCAAACCTTCTAATGGGCGATTATAATACTTCTGAACCCTGAGTAGTTAACAGAGTTTATTAGGCACATCTCCAAATTTGGTAGGGCCAGAAGTTTCAGGTTTCTGTGGTCTAAAGACATAGAAAGGCACATGAACAAGTTAAAATGCAAATTGACTCTTTGGAAGGCACACATGATGACGTTGTCCTCTGGACATCCTTTGCAAGACTGTACCGGTCAGTTACACTCACACACTCTCCCATCTCCGCAGGTGCAACCAGGCTGCTCTTTTTCTTGGATGTTTCACTTTATCTAAGACCTTCATCCTTTCTCCCTCTGCAACACCTTGATCCGAAATTATAGTAGCCTTTTGGCTGCAGCCCGTGGTGCTCTGTGCTTGGCTGTATCACACCACTGCTTATGTTGAGTCGTAATTATTTACATCTCCCTGTGATTACTAGGAGTTAGTTCCTTGAAGACCAGGACTCCTGTTTTGCTTCTGAATACTTATAGACCTACAGAGTATGTGGCCCCTGAGAGGCTCTCAAAAGTATTTGCTGAGTGAGTGATGTTAATAGCTATGAAGGAGTGGTGTGCTTTGTCTGACTCTCTTAAGGGAATGAGGGAGGGGTTGGCAGCAGAGGTAGGGCTGAAGCTAAGGCTTGAAGGATGGATTTTCTAGGCATTCAAGTGAGGAGGAATTTCCTGGAGAAGGAAACAGCGCGTGCAAATGCATGGGGGCTTGCAAAAGCACAGTGAGAGTTCAGAAACACAGGACCGTGGTAGGCATGGAAGAGCTGGTGGATTTTACGTGCATACGGAGGTGTTAGGAGGTACCCATAGTAATGACAGCCATTCCTTGAGGGACCATTCAGTCAGCTCCAGCTAACTCCAAAGACAATCCATCATGCATTTTTTTACATCTTGACTGATGACTAACTGGCAAGCGGAGTTTTCTAATGCCTTGTTGAAATACAAATGTGTTGGCAAATTTCCCAAAAAGAGCGAGGAAGAGGCAGGCATTTGGCATAGCAGTTGAGAGGCTGGTAGAGAGGCCCACAGTCCATATGGAAGTCCTGGCTCTGCTCCTGACTCCAGCTTCCTGCTAATGTGCACCCTCAGAGGCAACAGTAATGCTTAGTAAGGCTTGGGTGGTTGTGTTCCTGCCACCCATCGGGGAGACCTGGATAGTAGTCCCGATTCCTGGCTTTTGCCCCAACCTAGGCCATCACAGGCACTTGTATGATGAACTCTCTCTCTGCCTCTCAAGTGAAAATAGATTAATAAAAATTTAAGAAAGAAAGACACACAATGGTTTTGATAAAACAGTGAATGCGTTAATATGTAGTAATCACTAATTTTCTAATTTGTGTAACAGTCTGTTTTAGTGTTTACATTCCCAGACTTTGACAATAATTTTACTTCTTTTTTTAAAGATTGTTTTATTTATTTGAGAGGTAGAGTCACAGACAGTGAGAGAGACAGAGAGAGAGGTCTTCCATCCATTAGTTCACTCCCCAGTGGCCACAACAGCTGGAGCTGCACCAATCTGAAGCCAGGAGCCAGGTGCTTCTTCCCGGTCTCCTATGTGGGTGCAGGGGCCCAAGCACTTGGGCCATCTTATTCTGCTTTCCCAGGCCATAGCAGAGAGCTGGATTGGAAGAGGAGCAGCCGGGACTAGAACTGGTGCCCATATGGGATGCCAGCACTGCAGGTGGAGGATTAACCTACTGTGCCACAGTGCCGGCCCCCAGTAAGTTTACTTCTTTGCAACTTATAGAACTGGGTTTCTCTGCCATTTTGAAAATTAAAATATTTGCCTGACTTCTGGCCTCTGGTATATTTATTCTCCGATTTCTTAAATATAGCCCACAACAGTGCTGGGGTCCCATGTTTAATTTAGTCAGGAACATAATTTTCCTGAGCCTAGAGACTTGGAGTACAGAACACTGTTTGGCTCTGGATTTCTCTGGTCCATGTCAGCTAGTGTAAGGTGAATAAGCATGATAAAGAAGATACTGAGGCCGGTGCCGCGGCTCACTAGGCTAATCCTCCACCTAGCGGCGCCGGCACACCGGGTTCTAGTCCCAGTTGGAGCGCCGGATTCTATCCCAGTGGCCCCTCTTCCAGGCCAGCTCTCTGCTGTGGCCCGGGAGTGTAGTGGAGGATGGCCCAAGTGCTTGGGCCCTGCACCCCATGGGAGACCAGGATAAGTACCTGGCTCTTGCCATCGGATCAGCGCGGTGCGCCGGCCGCAGCACGCCAGCCGTGGCGGCCATTGGAGGGTGAACCAACGGCAAAGGAAGACCTTTCTCTCTGTCTCTCTCTCTCACTGTCCACTCTGCCTGTCAAAAAATAAAAAAAAAAAAAAAGAAGATACTGAAACTCAAGATTTTCTGTTTGGTCAACAATTTGGGCTGGATATGGGCAGAGAAGACCAAACTGATGAGTTTAGTAGTTCTGAATCTGTTTTGACGTGTTAGTTTGTACAATTTGCTTCAAACTTGGTCCTGTAACTTCAGTGTTCTTCTTAAATATCTAGAAAAGTCTGCTTTTTTGTCTGTAGCCTTTGGAGGCAAGTCTTTACTCAATTCTGAGTTTGCCTTCCTACTGTTTTCTGTTTTTCTATTTGTCACAGGTGACATACCTTTCTTACATCTTTCAGATGCAGCTTTCTCAATTCCTATAGTCGATTAAATTGGCAGCGTTGAGGGCTTATAGCATAACCGAAGCTGGGAGATGTCGAACTGGTCCCTCAGATGGACAAAATCTTTGTTTGTTCGCTTCCATTCTGGTCTGCAGCCCCAGTCCCCACCATCCCCACCTGCCTGGCACAAGGTCCAGCAGACACCCACCTGCAAAGTGTGTCAGAACGATGACGTAGTTCTCTACTTCTCCCGCGGGCGCCTTCCACTGCAGCAGGGCTTCCGTGGGAGTGATGTTGGTAGCCACCAGATTCACAGGGTTATCCATGGCTGAAACAGAACAGGAGGGCATCAGCCAGAGAAAAGAAGACCTGCAGGTTGGAAGGGTAGCAACCTATCTGGAGTCCCACTCCTGACGCGTGTCTGCTGCTGCGCTGGGCAAGATAGGGGAGACCTCGCCCCTCTGTCCCCTCTGGTTCCAGCAGCCCCTCCTCTTCTCCCTTTCCTCCTTCCTCTCAGCTGACCAGTTCTCCACTGCCCCCAGATCTTCCTTTCAATTATTCCACTAACTTCCTATGTGCAGAGCGCTGTGTCTCAGGTGGTATGGGGGATTTCAAGGCAATTCTGTTGCATTGGAGACATTTGCATAAGAACACAAGGAACCACCATAATTCTTTAGCTAAGGAGATACGCAGTTTCCAGACTGTTTGCCATTTCATAAGCGTAAGGGTGTGCCTTGTGGGCAGATCCCTGGGAAGAGCGCCGGAGCTCCCGGAGGACAGGGATGTCCTGGTACTGAAATCAGGAGGTACTCAGGGAACACTTGGCTGCCTGGGTTTGCGTTGCCTCCCTGGTCACATCTGATTAGTGACTTCTTGTGTCCCGACTCAGAAGGCTCACTAGAGCTCACTGAGTCCTGGTGGTCTCTCTCATTGTGCTGAGAGTGGAGGGGATGGCCACAGGTTTCTGTGTCACAGGCCCTGCACCACCTGTCAGGGAGAAGAGCGCTTGTGTGCTTGTTACAACACCTCCTTCCCACCCTTCCTTGCCCATGCTTAATTTTTTTTTTTTTTGACAGGCAGAGTGGACAGTGAGAGAGAGAGACAGAGAGAAAGGTCTTCCTTTACCGTTGGTTCACCCTCCAATGGCCGCCGCGGCTGGCGCACCGCGCTGATCCGATGGCAGGAGCCAGGTACCTACCTTGGTCTCCCATGGGGTGCAGGGCCCAAGCACTTGGGCCATCCTCCACTGCACTGCCGGGCCACAGCAGAGAGCTGGCCTGGAAGAGGGCAACCGGGACAGAATCCGGTGCCCCGACCGGGACTAGAACCCAGTGTGCCGGCGCCGCAAGGCAGAGGATTAGCCTAGTGAGCCTCGGCGCAGGCCTGCCCATGCTTAATTAAGCCTCTGCTCTGCTACTGTGTTTCCCTTCCCTGCAGCTGGGACTTATTTAGAAATCTGGGAAAGAAGATCTGCTATTGAGCTTTTTAGTTTCTCTAACTGAAAGCTTTTTATTTTTAAAATTTTCATTTAGCTATTTTCATTTTACTTAAAAAGCAGAGAGAGAGAGAGAGAGATTTTTCATCCAGTGTTTTACTCTCCAAATTCCTGCAGTAGCTGGGGCTGGGCCAAGTTGAAGCTAGAATTTATTCTAGTTCTCCCACATGCGTTGTAGGGACATGAGTACCTGTGCCATTATCTGCTGTCTCCCAGACACATTAATAGGAAGCCGGATCAGAAACAGAAGAGATGAGACTCAAGCCAAGCACTGTAACATGGAATGCGGCTATCCCAAGCAGCGATTTAATCGCTGTGCCAGCACCTGGTCCATTTGTTGTTTTGGTTCATCTGTGTCCCTCCTCACAAAATAGCAACCAGAAAATGTCTTTATAATGTAAAGTTTGAATTATGTGCACAACGTGCGCCTTCAAAGATTTCTTCAAATGCCACCCTTACGAGACTACAGTCGCCTTGGCCTCTCAGAATTCCATGGGATCACAAGACAGCGTGGCGTCCCGAAGGAGCGCTTGTTTCTGGAAGTTGTAAGAGCAGAGACCTCAAGCTAAAACATCCGCAGTTAACTAAGGTGCTGCTGCGAGCAGCCTAGTGATTGCCAGTTGGCAAAGTAGCTCTGTGTAAGTTGTCAGGAGGCAAGTTGGGGTGGGTGCCCCACTGCATATCTGTTTAGAGATACCTGCTGCCGATGGCTAAGAGCCCAAGCGGTGAGGTGTTGATCTAAGGTGCTGCTCTCTTTTACTTTGGGGACCAGAGGCCCACGCAATCCGTTTTATTGCCCTCAGTGAGAAAAAGAATAATTGAGGAAGGTAGGGAAGGGGCTTCTTTTGGCACCTGGAACATCACTTCTGGGCAACATATGTTGAAACTTTATCGGAGAGATCGTTTGATGGATAGGGAAAGACGATTGAAAACACGGCTGAGTTCTCTGCGCTCAAAGGCCTGGAAAGAGACTAGGGAAGAATAGAACGTCCTATGCTATCTTTTTCAGAAGAACCACTTTGTGCTTGCGAAGGACTAGTTCTTTGGCCACTACTCAGACATACTCCTCCGGAGCTTGTGAGAAAGTCTGTAAACGCAGGGAGGAATTCCAAGCTACGCTTCCTTGTTCAGGAAACACCACTCTCCAGGGAAATGAAGCACCCTCAGGACATCCAGGTGTTCCTCTAATGAGGCAAGTCGGAAGTCTGCCCGTGTGCTGTGGGAATGACAGCTTAACTAGGAGAGTCTGTCTGGGGCTGGGGACGGGAACTCTGGCTGAGCCTCCCGCTGCCTCGCAGAGCAAGTCTCTGCCAGCGCTGCACGGTGTGCTGCCGATGGGCCAGAGAAGGAGAGGCCGTGGAGCGGTGCAGGGGCCCTGGGCTCAGGCTTGTTTTCCAGGGGAGGCCATGGGATGTGGGCTTCCCCGTCCTACTCTCTCAGAGCTCAGGCTCACCGCCACCTTCCATCTCTTTTCCTCTGCCTCATTACACAGGTGCTCACTGAGGATGCCAAGGCCACCTGGACCCTATTAGCTTGTTGGAGAGCACAGAACACCAGGCTTCTGTGGGGGACCCAGAACACCCCCGGGGCGGCATCACCACCACTGCTTCTGTCACAGGTGAGGGCGTTACGGCCACTTTGTTGCTGCCTTCCTGCCGAGAGCATGAGGTCAGAGCAAATGCAGCTGCTTGGTGCTCCCCGGCCACATGTGACACAGACGGGATGTGACTAGGATACCAGTGCTTTCCTTCCTTGAGAAGAAAATGCCTTCTCTGAGTGTTTTCAACAATTGGATTGCGGTTGGGTTAGAGGGAGGGCGGTGGCACAGTAGGCTAAGTCTCTGCTTGGAATGCCTGAATCCCACGTCAGAGTCCTTGGGTTGAGTCCCAGCTGTTCCACTTCCTACCAGACTTCCTGCTAATGCATGTCCTGGGAGGCAGCAGATGATGGCTGTAGTATTTGAGTCACTGCTGCCCATGCGGGAGACCTGGATGGAGTTCCGGGCTCCGGGCATTGGCCTGGTCCAGCTTGGACATTGTTGGCATTGGAGAAGTGACAGCAGATGGAAGTTCTCTGTCTACCTCTATCTATCTACCTACCTACCTACCTACCTACCTATCTCTATACCTATCTTTTCTCTCTGTTGCTTCCTTTCCAATAAATAAAGATAAACATCTAAAAACTCAGAGGGGATATTCAGATTTCTGTTCTGAAATTCACTTCCATCTTATGTCTTTGAAAGGACACTTTTAAATCTTAAGTTCCATTAGAACCTCTAAGAAAAACCAGTGAGGTTCCCAGAGGGTGACTGTGAACTCCTATATTAGAGAGGACTGTTGAGGAGCAAGGGCACAGGAAGGTGAAGGAGCCCCCAGGAACGAAGCCCCAGACCCTGGAACCAGGGTCGCCTCGTGAGCCAGAACAGCGGGTCTTTGCCTCTTGTGTTTGCTGCAGGTCCTCAGTCAGGATCCTGACCGACGCGGCAGGGAGATGTGCCCACCTGTGTGCACCAGGGTGCAGATGCGCTCACTCTCCTCCCGGCCCCGCACGCTGTTGAGGCTGATTTCGTATTCGGTAGCTGGGTTCAGTCTGCTGATGGTGAATTCTGTCACTGTGTTGGGCACCACCGAGCTGTCCAGCCGTCCCACTAGGGAAGAGCGGAATCCACAGTTAACGCTCAGAGGCTCTCTCACGAACGCAGCCCGTGGTCCCGTGCACCAGGGGGCGCCCAGTGGCACAGACGGGGTAGAGACGTAGCGCTCAGTAGGCAGGAAAGACGAATGGGCCGTGGGCTGGGTGTGCTGGCTTCTGAGGGGGAATCGGCGCGCTGTTTATACCGGTTGGTTTTATGGGCTTCTTGGAGCAAAGAAAAATAAACTCACTCTTAGGGGTTTTTCTGGCAAACTGGTCTTTCCAAGGCAACTGTGTGAAGGTGATCCAGAGGGCACACTACAAAGAGGGGTCCGTGCAGCCTAGAAAGCTGCCCCACCCTCGCTGGAATGGCTGTTCTTCACTGAGTTCCCAATGCCACACACACTGGCAAAACTGGCAGGGGGTGGGCGAGGTCTGGACCAACCTCCTCTGCCTCATAAGTTGGCTTGCAGGGCGGAAGTAGGGCGCCATGGCTGTGGTCCCCTGCTGGGCTCCAGCTGGGTCTCTAACTACCCCCCACCCCGATTGGAGCGTTGGACATAGCACTCTCGGGAAAGTGCACGTGAGCCCGGCTCTCGGCCAGTTCTTTTGGGACCCCTTGTTTCTTATCACCCTGCCTAGATAATGGTGGCCCACTGCCTCTGCTGGGGAAGGGCCTGCCTTTTGGCTGAATGCATTGAAGCCTCTTTTTTTTTATTTTTTAATTTTTATTTTTTTGACAGGCAGAGTGGACAGTGAGAGAGAGAGACACAGAGAGAAAGGTCTTCCTTTTCCATTGGTTCACCCCCCAATGGCCGGTGTACCGCGCTGATCCGAAGGCAGGAGCCAGGTGCTTCTCCTGGTCTCCCATGCGGGTGCAGGGCCCAAGCACCTGGGCCATCCTCCACTGCCTTCCCCGGCCACAGCAGAGAGCTGGCCTGGAAGAGGGGCAACCGGGACAGAATCCGGCACCCCGACCGGGACGAGAACCCAGTGTGCTGGCGCCGCAAGGCGGAGGATTAGCCTAGTGAGCTGCGGCGCCGGCCGAAGCCTCTTCTAAGAAGGCTCTGTTAAGAGGACAGCTTGGCTGCTCCTCACCAACCCCTTCTCATGAGATGGAGCGAACCAGAGAGCGGACAGCAGACACAGGTCGGGTTAGGGGCCAGGCCCTTTGTCCCGCAGTGATCCTTGCCCAGCTGCGGATCCCAGTAATCTTGCTGAGGGATCACATAACTCGGTTACCTTGGGTGGGGCGATAAGACACGCGGTAGTAATCAAAAGAAGCAACAGGAGGGCTCCAGGAGACCGTGACTGAGTCCTTGGTCACGTTGCTAATCGTGATGTCCTTCGGGGGATCGATTCCTACAAGGGCCCGAGGAGTTGGGGGGAAAGACAGGAAGCACAGTGTGAGAAAGGAACTCCTATCCCAGGCTTACATAATGCACGGCGATCAAGAGTCAATTGCATCCCGGAGGAAAACTAGACTTTGCAACCAACCACAGTCAGGCTGACGTCTCACCTGAACCCTTGTAGATACAGCCACAGCCACGTTCATGGAGAAGAGTTTTAGCAACATGAAGCCAGCTGGCAAGGACTGTGTCTGTGCAGCCATTATTAGCTGTGAGGGTCAACCAGGAACGTCCCTTTAAATCCATTTGTTTTCTTCTGACCTGGGAGTAACATTTTCTCTGGGGCAATTTCTCTTGGATAAATCCAACTCTGCCTCTATCTCTTATTTGTTAACAGCCACCTTTGCTTCATTTTGAAAAAAATAAAAAACTGCCTATTGATTGTAGAGGAATTTCAGGGCACAAGGCCAGAACAAATCTACTTTCCTAAATTATATTTCATCTATGCTCTGTACTTTTTTTTTTTTGACTGCTAGAGGATCTCCAGGTTAAATCAACTGAGTATTTAATCCACTCGTCCAGTCTGTGAGCTCTGTCAGTGTATAGGAAATTACCTAGGCATACATGTTCTTATTCCATTACACCTGTTCTTACACCGCTCATTTTGGGGACCGTTTCGTGGATAATCTGATGGGAATGGGCCAGTGAATCTCTGAGTGCCTGTCTCTCCAAATAACACGCAAACGGACCCCGTTCTCTGAGTGCCAGGTCACTGGTTACACGCTAGCACCCTGTGATCGGGAAGACGCACGATTCGCATCACCGATCTTGCTGGGCACTAAGCCGCGGCTCTGCAGCAGAGGAGCAGGCGTGTCTTCACTCTCCAGGCCTCCTCTCGGAGAGGCGCTTTCCGTGATGTTTTCTCTTGGGCTGGACTAATGCATGCAGTCCTTGGCCACCTCGAGGTGTTGGCGCCGTCCTGCTTTCCACGTGGGAGTTTCCCCGCCCGTGGATCTCATGTAGCACTGGGCGAAGTGGCTGTTTCATAGCAGCTCACAGACCCTCTCTAGCCACCAAGGCAAGTCCCTAGTCCGTGAGTGTTTCTGTTCTCAGATTTCACTGGCTTGCCAAAGGCTACTGTGCCAACACGGCTCTATCACCCGCTGTCAAGTCCTCTCGCCTCACCTGTGGTGATGGAGCCCACGATGGGCTCAGAGGTCTCCGTGCCATGGACGGCCATGAGGTTGACGATGTACTCGGTGGCCGGCTGCAGGCCCATCAGGACAGCGTGCCTCTTGGTGGCGTCCAAGGAGACCTCCATCATCTCGTCCTCTTCGTCGCGGGGGCTGTAGTTCAGGATGAGTCTGTCTGCTGGGGGAGAGGGGTCGCTCCAGGTGATGTTGACGCTGGAGGAAGTCACATGGGAGAAGTGCAGATGGGAGATAGGGCGGAAACCTGCAACGCAGAGAGGAGAGGTGCCGTGGCGGTCACTGGGCTAGAAGAGGATCTCATTCCCTTGCTGAGGAGGGCTGCCCCTCACCTGCTGATCTACAGGCCCCCGCCCCCTGCATCCCCATCCTACCCTTGGACTTTTTCCCACCCATATACTGAACACTGAATTCTGGTAACACCGGAAAACGCCTCTGTGAGTTATTCTGACCCAGGATTTAAAATCTCTGTCCTGGAAGGAATTTAACTTGATCCTGTGGGTCCTCTGAGTGCCTGCTAATTTAGTGCAGGTGGGGAGAGAGGGACAGGATCAGCTACTATGTGCAGGTTATAGCAAACCAACAGGCACTCTCGGGCATGGGACAGCCTTGCTCATCTCTCCCACTCTCTTCCCACCACTCCCTCTGGATGGACTGACGGGTCTGCCCTCCCTCTGCTGTCTCCTTCGTCTGTAGGAAATGGGGCTTTGGAAGAGTAGGTTTCCTGGATGACCTTACACCTGAGGTCTGCTGATCGCGGAGCCCAGCAGAGATTTCGGCTGCCCGTGTACCTGTGAAGGCATCCACAGTGGACTCCAGGCTCTGCTGCCGACCCCTCTCAGCGGTGATGGAAATGATATACTCTGCCCCAGGCTCCAGGTCGGTCAGTGTGTACGAGGTGCTGTCCTTGGACACGGTGACTTCCGAAGCAACTCCGGAGGAAGGAGTGAAGGTAATTCGGTAGTGGTCGATGGGGCCACTGGCCTTGGTCCAGATGAGGGAGATGGAGGTCTCTGAGGAGGCTGTCACCATGAGGTCTCTGGGATTGTCGAGTTCTGTGGATCAACAGAAGTGTCCTGTTTCACACGGGCTCCTCTGGAGGGCTGGTGTTTACTGGACCACCTGAGTGTTTGCAAGCCATCAGCAGACCTAGCTGACCAGGAGCACTAGCCTGTGGTCTCTGATGCCTGTCTCCCATCGTGTGAAGCACCTTCCCTTTGAAAGATGGCCAGGAGCTTGTCCAACGGATGGCCACTCTGTAGAAGGGCACTATTGGCTGCAACCTCACCAGATGCATGTGCCTCTGGGACAAAGCCTGCTGGTTTTCAGGCTCTCCACATTCATTTTCACCAAACCTTTCTCAGGAAGCCTCCAGGGCACACACTAGGGTGTCTCCCAGCACTTGTCCTTGAGCCATTTTGACTTGTTCCTAACCATGAGTGTGCAGGCAGCCAGATATGAGGACTTAGAGACCCTTGTCCTTGTGTTGCTCGGAAGAGGTTGTCTGTACTGAACTGAGTAATGGGACAAAGACTGGCCCCAAATTCTGAATGCAGTCCATGCTGCTTGTATCTAAGCTACTAGAGTGACCTTGAAATTTACCCAGGATTTGGAAGCAAAGCTGTAGGATCCAGAGCAACCAGGGTCTCAAGTGGACTTTTCCTCTGCTCTTGGATTTAATGGGTTGTTTCCAAGCCTACACCTTTACCCAGTGGCCTTTTTGAGGACTCCTGGGTGCAGGTTGAAAGACACCATCTTCTACCTGCTGTGGGTTGGTCTAGAGAGAAATAAGGCCTCTTGTGGCACCAATCTATTTGGGATTTGCCACACCTGCTCTGCATAGTAGCACTGGACAGCCCTTCAGACCATGGGGGACCAAGCACAGGGAGGAAGATGGGTCTCCATATTGGATGTCAGATGTCAGAGTTTAGGTCCAGGATGGATGTTGTCCTAGGCTGCCAGCCATTCACTGGAGGAAGGTGGGGTGGGCATGGCCTTTTGACGGATCCTGGCCTGGACAAGCTTCCATGGCTCCTGGGGCTGCCAGGTGAACCTGGTCCTCCTACTCACCAGTCCTGGCATTCATGGTGGCCGGCACACTTTGCTGTGAGTTCATGATGGCAGATATTCCAACTCCATACTCAGTGCCAGGTACCAGATCTGTTGGGAGATGCAGAAACACACATTATTCTGTGTGTGTGTGTGTGTGTGTGTGTGTGTGTGCCGGGTGTGGAGAAGGCTGAAAGGAGGGAGAAAATGCTTTTAGTCCCATTCAGATGTTGTGTTTATCCCTTCCTGAGTCTTCTAATTTTACCTGTAAGGAATTCTTGATTTTACTACGTGGGCAGTCCACACCAAGTCAGCAGGATAAATCGGCCAGTGCAGGGCACTTTTCCTGCAGCAAGTCTCAGGAAGGCAGTGGGACTGCGCTGGTCAGCGACCTTCACAGGTGTGCTCCCCGTGCAGTCACAGGTGCATGTTGGCTGGAACCAGGGAAGGGATTTCTTGCTTCAAATGTGGACAGGGGAGTGTAGTTGGGAGGGACAATGTGGACATGGACCTTAAAGCATTTCTTGAGTGTTGCATATAATCAGACTCCACTCTGAAGATAAGAGCTGCGGCCCCGTGGGGGCTCCCGGGTCCCTCCCAGGAAGCAGTGGTGGCTTGGCTCTCTCTCAGCACAGGCCCGTCAGACTTTTAATGCCCCTGCTCCCATGTGGGAGACCCGGAAGAAGCTCCAGGCTCCTATCTTCCCATTGGTGCAGCTCCGGCCATTGCGGCCGTTTAGGGAGTGAACAGTGGATGGAAGACTTCTCTCTGCCTTTCAAATAAATAAATAAATAAATCTTTAAAAAAAGTGCAGATGGCCTGTCACTGCCAGCTCCTCATCTAAGGTAGGTGACTGAGACCCTAGGGTACTGACAGCCAAGGATCAGATTTTTGGTTGGCTTCTGGAGCCTCCAGGAGGATGGAAAACAAAAACAAAAACTGTTCAATGAAAAGGTGTAAACCTCTTGGGAAATCCTTCGGGGGGTTAATACAGAGGTCACTGAGAGGCTCCCAGGATGTCTGGACTCCTCTTGGGTCTCTCCCTGCCCTCGTCCCGGTCTGACTGCTGCCATGAATGCTTTCTACTGCTACCGTGACACATGGCCACCGTTTAGTGACGGGCAGCAACACACACTTGTTATCTTGCAGTGCCGGAAGTCTCAGGAGTAAATGGGTCCAGCAGGGCTGTAGCCCATCCGGGGCTCTGCAGGAGGACCTGGCTCCTGGGGGCTGCCTGCATTCCTGGGTTGGTGGGCCCTCCACCCATCTTCACAGCCAGCAGCTCAGTGTCATCCGATGTGTTTTCTCTCTGGCCTCTGCTCCCGGGTCACAGCTATCCTGACGGTCTCCCCGCTACACCCGCCTTAGAGACACCTTTGTGATCCCATTGGACCCCAGGGTAGCACAGGAAAGTCTCCCCATCTCAAGATCTGTCAGTCAGCCGCATCTTCGAAGTCTGTGTTTTTGCCACATAAGGTGACGTATTCATAGTTGCTGAGGATTAGAACCATTGTTCCGTCTATCGCCACTGGCATCAACCTGATCCTCATTGATTGGCAGCAGAATGGTGGAAAACAGCAGCAGAATCACAGCACCACCCCGGGGCTGCCACGTCAGTGTGCTCCCTCCTGGCAGCTCTTTATGGGGCCCTGTGTGGGCTCCCCAGAGCCATGGTGGATTGTGATGCTGCTCACCGCTTATATGAAACGCGTGCCTTCTAGATTAAATGTGTCTTTCAGCCTCACTGTACTTTGTGAGGGTCTTCCTCCCATCCGTACTGGTTTCCTGTCCTGTTGCTACCAATTCCTATAAACCAGTGGCGTAAATACCAGAGCTTCATTCCCCCATGGAACTGGAGGCCGGAAGTCTGCAAACCAGGTGTCAGCAGGGCCAGGCTGCCTGTGATGGCTTTAGGGGATAGTCCTAGCCTCTTCCTAGCTTCCGGCGATTGCTTATGGCTGCATCCCTCCAGTCTGCCACTGCTGTCCCGTGGTCTCCTCTTCTCCTAATGAGGACACTGGATTTGGGGAGAACACTGTTCAACTCAGGACTTGTTGCTGGAGGTGATCAGGCTGATGGCCTCGGGGTTCAGGGCTTGCAGGAGGACTGGGGTGTCCTGTGCCTCCCAGCTGTGATTTCCCTCAGACCATGATTTTGATTGGAAATGCTTTGAGCAACCTTCCCTGAAGGGACTTAGTCCAGGGTATGCTGCACGGTAGCCAGAGACCCCCTCCTCAGCGTGGCTTCGGTGCAGCCCACGCACCAGGTGTCCCCATGCACGTCTATGGAAAAGCCTGCTGGGACTCCAAGCAATGCAGCCTCCAAGCCCTGTCTGGGCTGGCATCAAGATCAGCCCTCTTTTTCCTGCGTTGAATCAGCTCCATTCCTGTCCTGATCCTTACTTCCTTTCTAAACCATCAGCACCAGCAGAGGTGAAGTTTGAAGTCTGAAACTTTGAAGTCAGAAATTTCTGTTATATGGTCAGGCGCTGCCACCTTCTATATGTGTAACTTTGGTTGTTAACATCTTTGAGCCTCAGTTTCTGTGGATTGGAAATAGCAACTGCCTATCTCAGAGAGCCTTTAGGAAGATGAGATTTACAGTACAGTGGCTGGCCCCTACTGATAGTAGCCGAGCAGATGGTCATCTTGCACAGACAACTCTTCTTGGATTTGGCGTCCTTTTATTATGGATGACCTCATCATCTACAAAAAGTGCCCCTGTGGGTACAGGTTGGTCCCAGGTACTTCTGTTGGTGGTGGTTTGTTGAGGCTTAGCTGTTGGTCCTGCTGGAAACCAGTGACTCGGGGAGTCAGGTGCCCGTGAAGCGCTCACCCTGGCTGGGCCGAGCACCTGTCTCTAGATTGAGTGGGTGATCGCAATGCTCCCAGATGCGTTCAAAGCACACATTCATCTTCGTCAACGTGTTGGGCGATTCGCAGGTACATCTTGGTTGCAGAAATTAGATTACCTTTGGGACATAAACTACTTTTCTCAGGCAACTGATTGAGACCTTCAATCGCTTATGACGAAGTAGAATTCTCCAACGTAGATGAAGGGTGACGGATTGAGGGAGGAAGACAGAAATTATATGTTGCCAAACGGATCTAACATGTAACGTTCCCACCCGAGTTTCTTATTTATGAAGCTTAAATGAAACGTTCAATAATTCACAGCAGAGCCCGCCTCTCCCGGAGGACGGCAGCGCAGCATTTAAAGCACTCTCTTGCCCGGCTTTCTGTCCAGGGATGGGGCTGGGGCTCTCAGACAGGCTGGTGCCTTGCTGCTCGCCTTTGATTCTCGGCAGCTTGCTTCCTGTGCTACAAGTGAATCGTTGCTCTTTGCCAGCAGGAAAAATACGGTCCTGCCGGAAAGAAAGTGTGCATCGAGTCACAGCCAGCACAGCCCCGTATCGGCACTCAGCACTCCCAAGGACCTCTCCCTTTTCAAAGATCCCACTGCTCTCTGTCAACGCTCTCTTCATCTCTCCATCCAGCTCCTGCAAGTGGTAGCATTTCAGTGGCTCGATTCCCTTTCTTAACAAAAGCCCAGAAGATTCATCCCATAGGAAACCATCACTCTCCATCCCTTAAAAAATCTCCTTTGTTCAGCCTGGTGGTTGATGCTTTTCTCAACTCTTTGACCACACACTCATTCTTCTCTGAACTCCTAAAGCACGCAGTTTATCTACTCATCAAATACCATTGAGGGTCTTCTCTGTGCCAGACACAGGGCTATGTGCTGGGGATACCAGGGTGAGCTGCACAGACATCAGCCTTGCCCCGTGAGGGATGAAAAGGGATCGGTACTGAACAAGTAAATTCATTATTTATTGAGCACTGACCCATAATATGCCAAGTCTTGAGCTACACGTGATGGGTGATCTAGAAGAAAATTAAAGGGAGGGAAGAGAGGCGGGGTTAAAAAGAATGAAAGCAGTTTCTAGGGTGTGATGGTAGCAAGTACTGTAACCATAGCTTCTTAGAGATTCAGACGCGTGAGCTCAGTGAATTCCCCTGCAGCTCTTCGGGCAGGCATTGCTCATTAGCCACCAGGCTCAGAGGGACCCATCCCTCAGGAGGTTACAAAGCGAATACTTGACAAAGCTAGGTATAGAACCTAAGTCCCTTGTTTTGTCCGACAGATCAGTGCATGGTCCCTAAGGGTCCCTAACGGTCCCTAAGAGTCATACAGGTTAGCAGGGGGAGTGGGGTAAGCCAGGTGGAATTGGAGAGGGATTTAATGGTGCACCGTGGGCTGCTAACTAAAGGCCATTTCAGAGGGAGATGAGATCAGCATGGGCTGCAGGAGCCAAGGGACCACTTCCTGGAGAAGGGACTTGAGTCATACCTGGAAAGCTAAGATCAGCAAAGTAGAAGGAAGGCAACTTGGAATTCTCCAGTGGTCTGAATGGGGCCTGGGGAGCAGCAGTAGATTGATTAGGGCTAGCAGACAGTGGAGACCGGCAAATTCTCACCTGCACTGAGAGGACCGGCCGACAGAGGCAGAACGGCTCACTTTGTCCTGTTCAGGAGACCTGGTCTCCATGCTCACTGCTGCTCGTGGGGAAAGAAGTGGGAGAAGGAGCCCAAGACACTGAGGTTGCGTGTCTTTCCCGGAAACCCATGGTGCTGAGGTCTGCAGGTGTGCTGGGCTCAGGTGCCTGCGTGGGACTATGACCTCTTTCCATTGCGAAATGCCTGGGCTCATCTCCCAAGTGGCTGTGACGCTCAGGCCCGCCACACTGGGGTTAGGGATTTGGTTGGCCTTGGGAGATGAACTCGGGGATTTCGAGATGGAAAGAGGTCATATTTCCACTCGGGCACCTGGGCCTTGCTTCTGTACACGAGGCATAGAAGCAGCGTGGAGGCAGCACCACCTCGGGGAGAGTGGGAGACAGGCCCAAGAGAGGCTGTCTGGTATGGGGTTTGAAGGTGGGTGGACATGTGTCTTGGGGAGGGACGTCCCAGGTGGAGGGCACAGTGTGTGCCAAGGCAGGTCTGGCAAGAGTTGTGGAGGACCAGGACCTACAGTGGGGATCCTCAGGGAAGTTTTCCAGCAGTGGGGCTGGGAGGCTGGAGGTTCCACCGCCAGGGTGGCATTTGGAGGCA